TGATCATTTACTCACCCTTTTCGTAACTGATCAAGATGTTATTTACTTCTTTGACTCACCACTTCTTGGCCATCTTTTCCTTTGCCCAAAAGTGCCAGTTATTAAGTCTCACTGTGTGCTGTAGCAGGGATTGAATACGTTTTGAATGAACACAGTAATCCTAATGAAGTCATTTGCTCATCATTGCTCTTAATTTGCCAGTTGGAGAGTTGAGATTTGTATGGATTTTTGTCATAAACAGTGACTTAATGTGTAAGGTATGTACAGTATCAATGTATGTGAAATCTGAAGTCAAGAGAATGTTTTCATGCCCAAGTAGTGGTAGAGAGACATTGCTAAAATATGGGAGGATAGAAAACGGGAAAACCTCAGCAGGACTTTTTAAATTAAGAAAAGATCCAAAAAAGGTAATGTACCTCAGTTCATTTAGAAAGTAGCTATTCATAATGGGATTTCTTATCTTTGATGTGATTAAAACAGGATATAGTTTTTGTCTGATTTTGCAGGATGGATGGCATAGCTGGGTAGCGAGCCCTGAAAGCAGAACTACCACGACCTGGTTGCTGGTTTGCACCAGAGACCCCTGGCTGGTGGAAACAAGACTTTACCTTCTACCTGGGTGTGGGTAGGAATGCCTTCTTTGAGGCGGACTTGATGAATTCCAGTGGAAGTGAGTGATGCTAGGGGCTGCACACACTGCATTCTACCTGCACTCTGCTAAATGCTTCATTCCTTGCAGAGAATTACTGTACACTGCTAGTGCAAACCCCAGTGTGAGAAGACAACAAAATCACTGTGGCAAGGTAAAACGTGGTTCATTTAGGTTTGGACATTCCAGTCAATTTCAATTAATCTCATAGATCGTAGTGAAACAGTAATTTTTGTCTGTCTTATATGACATTAACTTCACATTCTTCATCGTTACTGTATCAAACACCTGTACTTGAGAAAAAAAAAACCAAGAAGTTTTGCTTCTGTTGAAGCATGTTGGAATCTCGGGCATTCCAGAAAGTAAAAGCAATAAACTTCCTCAATTTTATTCCAAAGGAAAGCAAACGTGGAAAAGCCAGAATTCCCAATAGAATGAAAGCCTTGTTTCTTTTCAGCTCTAGAGGATGTGACTAGACTGGCTAGATGCTAATGAGCAGGGAGAACCTGCCAGCCCATTCAGTGCTGAGCCCTGGGCTTCTTCTGCCCTTTGGGATGCCTGCCTTGTTTGCTTCAGATTCAGAGCCTTTCTTTCAACCCTGGCAGAAAATCAAAGCACTCCACAGTGAGAGAGGACAGCAAAATACCTCTATGCTTGGGTTTCCATTGCTAGCAAACGCAGCAGTCAGTCTTTACTAATAAGATACAGATCTGGGCTCAAGTTTTGGTTGCAGACTAATAAATTTGACAAGAAACCTGTGGAGGTCACGTCCCAACAGAGCTAAGGGGCACAAGTGCTGCAGTGATCTCTCCATCGGGGCTCATAGGCAGTGTAGAAATATCCTCCAAGGGTAACTGGATTTTCTGGAAAATACAACATAGAAAGCTAAAGGTGGTGACAGTGATAAATGATGTCAAGTGTTGTGGATCTACTCTATCATGGGATCATAAAGTTGGAGTCTGCTGTGCACAGGAAATCCTTTTTCCTTGGCTTTGGCACTGCAGAAGATTTGAGTGGGATATGGAGATGCTTTCTGAAGGCATTCCCTACAGGGAAAATATGACAGAGGTCATTAATGGTGATAGTAAGCATTGTGTTTCAGATTGCAAAACAATCACCATTGAAACTGTCCTTCAAGATTTGCAGGGCGTTTACAAAACTCCTTCAATAAAATTTGGTATCTAGTGCTTATGTCGTGTTTGAAGTACTGGATAAATCCCGGCCCAGGGAGGGACAGATGGTTATAAACATCTCCCTGAGGGAGCCAGCTTCCTCCCTGGTCATCCTTGCAGGGGTGTGGGACACAGCCAGTGGATGTGTACGTGTGGGTAGAACAGCTCATGGGGCTCCATGGAGTCACAGCTCCATGCCACAAGAGAGTGGATGGAGGAAGGGAGGAGGATGGGATAAGACTCACGTTAATCTCTTGGCTCGCCTTCTCATCGGTAAACTTCCTCCTTTGCAGGATGAGAGGAACTTGCAGGGAATTTGGCCTGGACATTTCACATTTTTCTGTCTATGGCCTTTCATGAAAAACTTCCTTGATTCTCAAACTGCTGTTAGAGTTCAGCCTCTTCCAGAGAAGCCTTTTCTGGCACCTCCCCTGCTTTAGTGCCACAAACAGTGCAGGGTTGTATCAGTTCATCACTGATGGATCAGGACGCTTTGCTTGTGATACAGCAACTGATTGCCTAATTTTTCCATTTTGTTCAAACCGTAATGCTTCGGAGTCTAATTCTAAAATATAGCATTGCTACTTACATCTCACAAGAGGATCTTCTGCTTTGGTTGCAGGGGGATCCCTTGTATGATTTTTCTCCTTAAACATCCTGCATCTCTCTACAGCAGGAAGTACATGAAGCTCACAGAGTGGGTCCAGAGGAGGGCCACTAAGATGATCAGAGGGCTGGAGCACCTCTTCTATGGGGAAAGGTTGAGGGAACTGGGCTTGTTTAGCTTGGAGAACGGAAGGCTCTGGAGAGACCTCACTGTGGCCTTCCAGTACTTGAAGAGAACATATAAACAGGAGGGGGAAGGAATTGCTGTTTATGGGGGTGGGTAATGATAGCAGAAGGGGAAACGGTCTTAAATGGAGACAGGGAAGGTTTAGGTTGGATATTAGGAGGAAGTTTTTCATCCAGAGGGTGGTGAGGCGCTGGCACAGGTTGTCCAAGAAGGTTGTGGATGCCCCATCCCTGCAGGCATTCAAGGCCAGGCTGGATGTGGCTCTGGGCAGCCTGGTCTGCTGGTTGGTGACCTGCACACAGCAGGGGGTTGGGTGATTATTGTGGTCCTTTTCAACCCAGGCCATTCTAGGATTCTCTAGCAAAGAATAGTGCTCCCAAACTCCTGGCGTTGTGCTTGTGTTCCTCCCTCTGCTGTCCCACTTAAGAGTTACAAGGCTTTAGCCCTTAATTGCTGATACGCTGGTAGATGCAGATGGCAGTAGAAGGTATAGCCCTTTCCCTCCTACCTGTCTGCTTTTGTGTATTTGAGCTCCCTGTCCTGAATCTCATAGCTTTCCAGTTCTTTGGGCTAGTATTTTGATGGAGATGCTGATAAAGTGAGTTTTGTGGTGTGCCTGTTTGGGTTGGGGTACGAGTCGATTTTTGTCAAGGCAAATGAGAGTGCAGGAGATCAGAAGGAAGACAAGAGAAGTGTCAGGGTGTGCAGAAGGCCATTTTGCAGGGCTGTAATTGGTGATCTCAAAGGGCAAACATCGCAGATGCAGTTGGGGATATTCACAAATGGATGCTTCTAGATGAAGGTGCCCTACCGTGCAGTTTCCCTCGTGGGCAATGGGCTTATTTCCACTTCAAAACCTTTGGAATAGCATATGCTTGGTCCTTTGGCCTCAACCCCAGAAGGACAGCCTGCAGAGACAAAGGAGATCTTTCACTCTGCTTGGTGCTCTGCAATTACTGGGAGCTGGCTCAGCCTGCATTGTAACTCCTGGTGGTGTGGAAGATACAGCAAGCATTGGAAGGCAGGTAGAGCTCTGCTTTTCTCCTGCAGTGGGGCCTCTTCTTTAGTTTTCTTGGGCAGTTCTCTGCTGAGGCACAAAGGAATCACAGCAACGTCCAAAATGGGTGCTTGACACTGCAGGTCTCTGCAGTTGTGTGCCTATTGCTACGTGATATAAAGCAGTGTGAACTCCCATGCTAAACTATGAGTATTTGCAGTTCTACCCAAAATTCTGTTGCCTAAACAACCCCTCTCATTTCTGGGGACCAGCACCACATTACATGGCCATGGGTTGTGACCAGCCTTCCTGAGGAAAGTTGGGAAATGTCTCTTCTTCAGGGAGACTAGCAGCCAGATATTCCATCTAATGCTGTCATTTCCTTTGGGAATATCTGATTTTTGACCACTGCTATAACAAATGAATGTACTACAAATGTAGGATGTGCTTGTTGGAGGTGCTGGAGATAAAGCTGCTCCTGGGCAAGAGTCGTAGGTCATCTTTGAAGGCTGAACAGCAAGGTAATCAATTAGCGCAAACTTGCCTGCAGGCCTTCTGTAAATCTGGCTCCATTCCGTAGAAGAAATAATCACCATGTCCTTTGCCAGGCAATTTTCCAAATGATTGTTTTAAATAATATGTTGCTGTGATTCAGCAAAAGAGTTTTGAGATTTATTAGAGCGTTTGTCACTGAGAGGAGAAGCATTTGGTGAACTCTGCGGGCTGGCAGTAAGCAGCGTGGGGCAAGTGGCACACAAAGCACCAAAGTCTCTGACTGCTCAGGTCCTCTTGGTATTTTTGGAAATGGGAGACAGGGACATGCATCTCATCCCTGGGCACTGGCTGCCTGCATCACCGGTCACCAAGCAGATGGCACTGGAGCTGCTCTGCAATAGCAGGAGGCATAGGGGGGAGTGGTGATAGATTGCTCTGCTCCCTTCTTTGGGCAGGCCTGCACAAATCGTAAAGGAGGTTGTCTGATCTTGAATCTATTGCTCCTTTCTACAGTAAAAACTGAGACGCAGTTCTCTTTTATTATCCTGGCTTGAAGTTGAAGCTTATGGCTTTGCACAGAAACCAAGTCTTGGAGAACATGCCTCTTATAGATACTTCAAGCTACTCTGGCCACATGCCTGCTTTTATTTAAAATACAAATGCTGCAGTTGCTTTGGGATTGACAGGTATCTAGTTATTAGCAAATAGCTTGATTCTTTTCTCATTAAATAGCCTTTCATGGCTCTGCTGGTGTTGAGAAGGGGCTTCTAGTGGAATTTGGCAGAGATTGCTGCCAGGGTGGAATGAAAGAACCTCTGTGAAACTGAGAAACATATGGCAAGAAAATGCATGTCTGCATCATAATAATGGTGTTTTTTCTTCTTCTTCCTTCAGGTTATCTCGCACCCCGAAACCTTCCTAGTGCAGGCTTCTTCCCATTCCTGCAAACTGTGCTGTGTGATTCAGATGCCAGATGTAAAGGCACACCATACACACCAGAAGATCTGCTGCCAAGGCTTAATGATATCTCATCTCTCAGACTGTAAGGAAATTTGAATATACCTGGGTGTTGCAAGCTGTAGAGCAAAATTTGCTTTGTGGTGGAGGGTGCAGCCATGCATGTATGCATGTGCGTGTCCACAACAGGCATCTATCAGGTATCTGTTACAATAAATAGAGTTTCAGATATTTGGGCACTTAGAAATGAGAATATGGGCTGAAAAGCAGGGAGTTATAAAAATGTTCACGTTAGAGACAGCTATTGGTAATGTGTCAGTTGTGTTTCGGGTTTGACAGTAAGAATTTTACTATTGAAGAAAATGCTTCTGATTACCCAGATTTCAGAAATCAGAGGAAAAATGTGTATTACATTTATTTATTTATTGCATGATTGTGTTTTGGGTCATACATGATGTTAGTTGGTAAGACTGCATCAAAAGAGCCCAGCGTGTTTACCTGCCTTCTGTAGTGATCAGATCAAGATGTGTAGTGTGGAAGTGGCAAATGTTCCCCAACAGCTTTAGTTTCTGAGATATGTTTGTTCTGGAAAGACTGCTCTTTCAATAGAGCCTCCAGGTGGCAGCCAGAGTGGCTGTCCTCTCTGCATGCCATTAAACATATAGGCAAACGGATGAAAAAGTGAAACATTTTTTCCCCACGTAAGCACGTAGATCTACAGAGTGGAGCTGGCTGAGCACGTTTGGTTGGAATGCTGGTTTGCTGAAATTGAAATGTACAGTGAAGGCATTTCAATCTCAATGATGTTCCCGCACTAGCCAAGAAGCATTTGCTTTGAGGTGTGCCAGCCAGTGTTGTCTCTACGTTTTGGCTCCCAGATTCTGGCAAGTCCCCAGGGAACATGCAGGTCTGAGGTCTGGTCAATGAGAGCAGAAAATGTACAAGGTCGCCGTTGCTCATCCTTCTTCTAGGTGACAAGTTGCTCCAGAATGGCTGTGCCAGAACCTCAAAATCCCTTCTGGCCAGAGACTGAGAGTGTGAAAAACTAATGTGAGCACCAAGTCTTACACTAGGGAGTCCATCAGATAGGATCCTGGGTATGGTGCCTCCTCGGGGCTCCTTTTTTTCTAGAGATAAGTCAATGGTTAGGATCTATCCATTAGTTAGAAGGAGTCTGGATGATTAAACATGTGGAAAACAAGTTACATAGGTGAATCAAGGTCACACAGCAGAACACAACAATGCTATGGGAAGACTGGATGCTCTTCACTTGCTTCTTCAGTGTCACTGTTTTCCTGGATGTGTTAAACAATGGTTAATTTGGTGCATTGAAACAAAGAAATGGGGACTTGCAGTGCCAAAGCTGGAGGTTTGCCATGGTTTTCAGTAGCTACAAATCCTCATTGCTTTCTGGTTTTGATTTCTTTACAGCTGTTTAGGAAATAACTATGTTTTCTTGCTGAGCGAAAATCAAAGTATTTAGTCAAAGTATAGCTCAAGTTACATGAGTCATTAATAAGCATCTTGGCCACTACCAATGCTAGAAATTAGCTGTGTGAAGTATCACACACGTGCGTGGATATTCTTCCTCTTCTGTTACCAAGGTTAGCTTTAGAAATGCATCATGTTCTACAGAACTGAAAAAAAAATTAACTAGGCACAGCAAACCTCACCAGGATACGGTAGAGTATGAAACCTCATCAGCAGGTTGACTGGGCAGGAGCCAGCATGTATAGAGTCAACTCTGCCTCAGGAGCAGAATCATGGTGGATGAAATTGTCACGAAGGGAAAAGTCTTAAGCTGTGACTCTGATTGTCTGGATGTATTGTTTAACATTAGATAGTTTGTAATACTTAGCTGACCCAGAATGGTTTTTCTACACATTCTACAAACCTCTGAAACTATTTTCTAACTTGCCCTAAAACTGTGTCTTTTCAGTGGTCAGCAGAGAAAATAGGCAAGGTTCTCACCCTTCATTCTGTCCCCTAGAAGCATTTACCAAGGTGTGCAAATAGTTGAGGTTTCCCTGCATAGAAGGATACTAAGTACAAACACTGAGCTCGACATCAACATCTTCCAATGTTTTGCCCCCTGAAATGAAATGTTAGGGAAGGATGAAGCAAGGTCCTGATGTCTTGAAGGATTTCTTGGTAGCGGCATACAGCCTGCTGTTATAACTTTGAGCTGTTTCAGCTTACATCAAGGCCACTCCTTGATCAGTCAAGCTCAGTCTGATCCTCATCAGCAGTGTGGTGAAATTCTGCACTGCTTCTTCTGTTGAGCATTGGTGGGGGATACAATGAAGCTTTCTTTCAAATAAGTGGGAATTGGTTTGAGATTAGACAGCCAAAAGTGTATGTCAGGCCTTGCTGTCCTTGTGTATCAGGCACGAATGCAATCCCCTCCATCTACTTAGCATCCAAGAGCACTGCAGTGTGCTTTCCCAAAATACACACCAATCTTCTAGACAGAACTCAGCATTTACACAACCAAGGTTTCAAAACAGCTACCATGAAATTCTGCTGTAGACACATCCTGAGTCACACTGTAGTTAAATGCAAGCTTAATCATAAGAAACTGAGTTTTCACAGGTATCTTTTTTTTTTTTCTTTTTTCTTTTTTCTGTCAGTAAGCAGAGGAGCTCATCTAGAGTGTCCAAGGACAACCATCCATCACCATGGAGTGCTGAGGTTCCCAAAAGCAGGAATGCTTCACTGGGTAGGTTACTCAGAGCTGTATGCAGAGCCCTGGTCTTTAAAGAGTGATCTTTCAAAGCTGTCTCAACACAGATGCAGTTCTTAGAGCACTGCTGAAATGATTTGTGTATTCTATACAGTCTCGTGACTGAGGCTGTGACATTAGTGCAAATTCTTGGGAATAATTACAAGTAACTGTCTGTAGAAAAGAATTCTGGAATCTGACCAGGAAACCAGGGTTAAGTTGTTACACTTCACAGGAGTGATGTGAGATTGCAGACTGTTTGGACATTAATTAAAGACCTGGCTATTTATGGAATATTGCCTTTTTACTGCCCACAAATTGTTCATGAACACCTTATGATTTTTTTTTTCCAAATGCATCTCTTAATCACATTTATCCAGCAAACAAGTCTTCTTCCGTGCCACAGTGGATATTTATTGCTGGTGCTGTTCTCCTCTGACGTGTTTCTCTTTCCTGAAGGAACTTTCAGGCTTAAATTTTCAGTAAAATCATTACAGTTATTATTTATTTGTGGTAATGGCTAGTACTGCCTACAAGTCGTCATGATGGATAGCCCTTTTGCCAGGGAGCTCACAAGCAAATGAATGATTACAGATTTGCATTCTGTGACTGTTCTGCCCCAGCCGTTCAGCGTTCCAATTAGCATTCCTGGCAATGCATTCCCTTCTTGGTGCATGGGCACACAAAAGGAACTGAGCACAGGGGCATAGGAAGAAAAATCAATGAGTGTTTATAGGAACTATCAACTCATGTTGATGGCCGCAGTCAGGAAAGAACTCGGTTTTACCTCATATTTAAAAAATAAAATAAAAATCATAAGTCACAGTCTTGGCTGATGTAAACTGGCACAGCTCCTTTGGTTTCATGGAGCCGTGTGCTTTGCAAAGGATGCTGAGTGCAAATGTTGGCTTTGATGTGCATCAGCTGGTGACCTAACAGTGTGCCACCATGTGTAGCAGGCAGCAGTGCTCCAAATCTGTGTGTAAGCTGTTCCTGAATAATGACTGTCACCCACTGGTGCCAAGGGTACCTGGAGAGCTCTCCCTTATGGGGCTACAGGCTTGAGCTCATGTGGGCTTCCTTGTTAGGCTGCCTGTGTCTCTCCCTGTGTTGGGGAGCTGTGGGACTGGAGAAAACAGCTGGAAATTAACATTGAACCACAAGCAAATAGTTAAATACATTTAATTTCAAAAAAGTTACAGAAGGAAGCAATGTCATCCAGGATTTAATTACTTCAGAAGAAAATCTTAAATAATTACAGGGTGCCATTGGCTGTACCTTTGGAGATGGATTAATGATGGCATGCCCAGAGCTGTAGTCAGTTAGCTAACGTGTAGCATGATGTAGCAAAGAGGTTAAAAGACTTTATGTAAAATACAGTGTTTTAAACTGTTATTGCAGCATTCAGGGATTCGGTATCTCATGGAGAAAACACACTCTGGAATATTTCATCACCATCCAATTTGACTTCTAGCATCAACATGTTCAACAGAATCCTTAGTTTTGGGAAGGTAAGTCTGTATAGTAGCTGTATCTGAGCGTTTATGTATAGTTATATGTAAAGACTTAAAAGCTCAATGTACCACATATGGCCTTTATTTCTTTAGGATCCCCATTATTACATGAATTTTCTTTATTTTGGGAAGAGGGAGACAGTTACTGTAGATGCACTTTTAAATTCTGTGGTAAATTTATTATTCTCTAAGTAGAAACCAGATCAACCATATGCCTTGGGACATAATACTTTGAATGACCAAAACTGGCAAGCAGTAACCTGAAGCATTCTCCTCAAAACTTGCCTGAGTTAAGGTGTTCTTTCATGTGAATTTAAAGATGGCTTTGCCACTGAATTCTGTATTTGCTCACAGTAGTGAAGCAGTGGTGTCACGTACTATATGTTTATTATGTAAGTAATTGAATCAATATAAGAATAAATCTTCTGTAATTGAAGCTTGGTAGCATATGAGAGACACCAGTATGCTAGGGACATTTTCTGCTATTAATGGTAGAATATGCTTGCTTATTTTATTAAGCCCTGTAAACACATGCATGCCTGTTCATCTGCATGACTTCCAGGGATTTCAGTGATGCTGTTCACCTAACATTCTGCATTTGTACTTGTGCTGATAGTGCTTTTCACATGCCACTGCTATCCTGTTTAAAAAAAACACCAACAAAGTCTCAGCATTGCTTAAAGCCATCACAAGTAGAGTATTTCTTTAACCTTGAACATTACACCTCTAGAGCAAGGCGCAGTATTCAGTGGGAGCAAATCTCAAAGTCATTCTGTGTGAGATCTTGTCACGGTACGTACCGGCTCCTGGTCTCACCGAAGAGAAGATGGCAGCCAACATCTACAGGACGTTCTGCTTTACTGACTCATCGCTTTTAGAGTCCTTTACCCAGGAGTTCAGAAGTCAGTTGTCTCAGGTGAGTGCTGGGACTTTTTCCTGATGTCTGTTAGTAGCTGTGTTAGTTCACACACTTGAGCACGGTGTTTTGGAGGTACAGCATGTCCCCACCTGGCTCAGAATAGCTCATCTCTATACTGAAGTACGTGCAGCATAAGTTTTTGTGAACTGGATTAGCACAAACACACAGATCTTTGGGAAAGGCAAAGAGAGCCAGCTGCCAAATAGTGGCCATTAAGAGCTCCTCACCATGCCATGAGGTTTTGTTTCTTGCCTTTATTTGCTTCTCCCAGTGACAAGTAGATAGAGCAGTGTGAGAATGTGGCATAAACAAGAATATTTAAAGCTAAGGGAGGCTCTAAATTTCATCCTGTATTACACCAGCCATATAACTTCATCCAGTAACTCCTGCATTTGATCCAACAACTCATGACTGAAGCAGCCCTTGCTGCTGGGGAAGCTATATAATTAAAGCAAATGGATCCTTTAAAGGTAATGCCTTATTTTTTGCCAGTTGAGGATTGATATTCATTTTTCTTGTATTCCTAGTCTTTGGACTGTTTAAGACATTCTGAATTTTAAGGCTTGTTTAAACAGAGAATTTATTGAGCAATCTGAGGTGTGAAGGTAAAGCACAGTCACTCAGTTACTGCCTGTCACTGGAGTCCTTTGAATGCATTGTTTGTAGAGTTGTGTAAAAGTGCAGCACAGACTGAAAAACATAAGAAGACCCACTAGCAACAGGGTTTTCTCTGCTTAAATAATTTCTTGCATTGTTATTTTTTAAGGTGCAACACAACCCACAGTACCAAGCAGCATTTGTCAACGAAATGGTCTCATTTCTAACGCTCATCTCCCAAGCGCAGAATGACACCTCCCTGTGGCATCTGTTTTTGCTGGCTCCAGATGTGTTTCAGGGCAGCACACAATTCCAAGATATAATTGATTTTCTTCAGAATGCAAGCAGGTAAAAATAAAATGCCTGGAGGGGCACTGAAAGGTGATGGGCTTGTGCTGAACACTAAGGATGCATCATTTTTCACCTTGAAGAGCATTAACTTAAAAGCATAATTGATTTGGGCGATGCCATGGCACCATTAACGCAGCTAGCAGTGCTTTGATTTTCCATGACTCTTGTTCACTTTTTAATTGGGAGCTTGATATGATCTATTAGTTGTCTTCCATCCTACTTCCATATGCATAGAGGAAGAGTGGTGAGCAATACCCCTGTCTTTCACTGAAGGAAAGCCCTCTTTGCTGGATAGTTGTTCTGCCAAAATGGCAGCTAGCCACTTCCTTCCCAGAAACAACAGAGCCAAATTCAAGTGGCTCTGAACACCTCAAGTGTTTGTAGGGGAGCCAGAAATTCACTCTAAAGAAAACAGTTACCAGTTGCTGCTGTTTTATTCTTCAAAAATGAATCCCAAGAAAGCAGAGGAGGGAGGGATCCTGGTTCTTCTCATATAGGGCTTTGAATACATTTGACTTTAAGAAAGTACCAGTTATGTTCTTGCTGAGTGGTTTTATGAGAAAACAGAGCAGGCTTAACTGCATTAATTAACTGTGCTGAAATGTTCAGTGTTGTCTGTAGGAAGCATGTTAAAAACTCTTCTAAAATGGGCTTAGCCTCAGAATGCCTTTCTGGTCTTTCGTTGGGCTGAACTCTCACTTTCCTCTAATGGACGTGAGTCACCCATGAGATTGGGAATCTGTACCAAATCATCTATCTATCTATTGACTGTCTGACTGCATTTGCTAGAAAATATTCTGAACTTTCCTTTTGCTGCAGCATGTGGAGGAAAGCGAACAACAGAAGGTCTTCAGACATTTTTGTTTTTCTTATACGTATGAGCAGTTGGGCAAAGATTTCAATAGAGGTTGTAGAAACTTGGTCACTCTGATTATACTCAGGCTTAGAGAAGCTTGCTTTTCATCACTAGCATGTTGCCAAGGCATTTAAAAACCTGTATATCTAGTATCAAGGAGGGGAGATTTAGGTTGGATGTCAGTTCATTACTGTGAGAGTGGTAAGGTGCTTAATAGGCTGCCTAGAGAGGCTGTGGATGCCCTGTCCCTGGAGGTGTTCCAGGCCAGGTTGGATGGGGCCTTGGGCAGCCTGGTCTAATATTAAATGGAGAGGTTAATGGCCCTGCCTGTGGCAGGGGGGTTGGACATTCATGATCCTTGAGGTCCCTTCCAACCTGGGTCATTCTGTGATTCTATCCAGGTAATTTGCTTTTCTGCATCATGAGAACTATTTGTAAGCTATAACGACCTTATCCTTAAAGGAGTCTGTTGCACTGTGGTGAGACTTTAATGGTATTCACCGATGTTTTGTCTGTGCTGCTGTTTTAGTGGCAGGATTATTGCATTTGTTCACACTTATTGGCTTGAAGTATCAAGCTTGAGAACTAGCACCATTTGAGTGCCCAGGAGGAATTAATATTTACTATGTTGCTCTGCTTTGCTTCATGACTGCAGAGTTGGGCAAAGTTTTCAGAGGCACAACAAAGAGGCACAGAGAATTTCACCACCAGGACTGCAGTGCTTTTATGCCTAGCACGGGGCAGTGTAAACACATGAGTAAAGAGTTACTGCAAATGGATTGCACAAATAGTATTTTTAATGAGGCTTACAAAATAACAGCCTAGCTAGCCTGGCCACGTCTTTTACTCAGGCAGTTCTGAGCTCCTGAAGAAATGCTGTGAAGGGAATTTCTTGTAGCAGAAAAAAAAAAAAGAAAAAGATGTGGAAGACAAGAAATGGTGCTCAACTAAATACGTCATTTATAACAGCAGCTTCTTCACCTCCTAGACAAAGGCTAACAAGCACCTCTGCAAAATGGAAACGGTGAGCATGAAGTCCACAAAAGCTTCATGGAGGCATTATGTTAAATGAGAAGAAAAAAGATCCATGGTGCTCTGTTCTCACTAGCAGTCTGTTCCCACAAATCACTATGTATATATTCATGCCACTAGAATCAGCTCAGCTAGGTGTTGTGTGCATCATCAGTAGAACTCTGGGCAGGCAAGAGATTATGCATTCCATAGTGACCTCAGCTAGAGTGAAGAGCTGCGCTTTATGTAGGAGAAGGAAAAGGGACTAATAATCACCATGAAGTTTTCAGTAACCTGCACACACTGAGCAGGCAATCTTTTAAACAGCTTTGTCTGCAATACAATATGACTGATTGTCAGCTTGTTCTTTCAGAGACTGAAAAAATATATACATGTATTCCTTGCTTCCCTGAAAGCCTGGTTATTGCAATATAGAAGAGGAAAGAAGGAAAATTGGACGTGGTAGAAGTTATGTATTTGTGATTGCTTCTTCCATCTGCAAATACCATCTCCAAGGAGCCTGTTCTCTCAGGAGCCTCGTCTGCTCTGCCTCTTGCTTTCTGTTAGGAGGAGATTCACCCACAGCAGTGAATCACAAGGGCGGTGTTTCACCTGAGTGTTTTCTAAGCCCTATTATGAGGATTTAAGTGGTGTATAGATTTTGCATAACCCTTTGAATAAATGCTTCCAATGAACGCAATATGCACATTACTGCTAATATTCCACTAAGGATTTCCCTTTGAAGCCCTTTATCTTTGTATCTTGTGCATGATCAAACAAATACTTAAAAATAGGAGCACTGTCTTTTCTATCAGAAGTTTTAAGAATCATAGGCTGTACTCCAGCTGTTTCCTATCTGAACACTTGCTTTATTTCTTCTCATAAACCTGCAACCACTATTTATTTTCCTTGTGCTTTTTTTTTCCCCCTTCAGTGGTGTGCTGGCAGCTCAGAGTGTCTCTACATCGCCTGTTACTGATGATAGATTCAAAACTGTTCAAAATGGGGTTACAGATCCCCCATATTCCTTGAATTGCTGGGAGCAAGGTAAGATTCCTGCACATAGTCATATCTCTACTGAAAACCTGTGGTGCCCAGTATAAGCAAACTGCAGGCTAATAAGTAACCATACCAACTGCATACTGTTCAAGGCTCAGCATAATGAATTCTCCTTTCAACTTTTTACAAACGTGAATAAAGTACCTCATTTTGACTGCAAAAGCAAAAAAGGTTGGTTTTGTCAGGAGATGATGAATTAACATGAGTTGCAGTCTCAGTGGAAATGGGAAGCAGTAATTTTTACCTTAAGTTTTGTTGTCAATACCTGCCTGTAGCTGTGAGCTCTGTCAAACACTTGTGGCTATACCAAAGTAGGGATTGAGACTGGACTTGTACATGTCAAAAGTAGCCATTCTTCTACTCCAAGACTTTCCACAGTAGAGGCAGAGACAACCAGCTCTTAACTGATGTGACATGAGAGGGCAAGGGAAAGGTACAGCATGTAAGTGCTGCCAGGGACAGACTGTAAATGCCATCCATTCTTGTTGGTTGATGGAGATGGTGGAAGTTGGGGTGAATAAGAAAGCAGATTAATGAAGTGCGAGTGGGGGAAGACATGGAGATGTGAAGGGTGGAGAGGCGTGGACCACACAGGGGTATCAAGATGAGTTTAACTCTGACAGAAATAGATTATGCAGCCAAAGCTCAGGTGCAGGTAGTAAAAAGTCTCCTTGTATGAACAGTGAGAAATCCAGTAATGACATTAGGCCAATTTGTTAATAGTTAATAGTTAATTTGTTAATAGTGTTAATAGTAGAAAAGGGGTCCTAAATCAGGAGGAGAGCTCTGTTGCACTCAGAACTGTTCCTGAGATAGAAAATCATTTCTGCAATGGCAGGTAGGATCCTGACTTTCCACCCTGAAGGGACAGTTCTATCTAGGATCTTGTGTCATATCATAGGAGCCTAACAGCATACGTGCATATTTTATGTGACAGATTTGCTAAACAGCTATTCTTAGTTGCCCAGACTATCACCTTTATCTGTTTGTTGTAGGTAAAGAAAAAAGTTTGGTGATCAGATATATTTGTAATCACTTTAACTGGAAAGATAAGTGGACTTTAGTAGCAGAGTTGGAAGAAGTTCTGAGGTAAGGCATTGACTAAAGGGATATTACTTACAGATAACTCAAATCTATGATCTTTGCTCTAAATCGCTTCATGTTTCCACTTGCATTGATTTCATATTCACTAAAATGCTCTTTTTTTTCCCTCCAGAAAAATAAAGCTACCAGAGATTGGTGGAAAAGTCTCCAAGAGGTCCATTAATTCAGATGATTTAGAAGCCATACAAAAGTCTCTACATCGTTTAAAAGGCTTTGAGAAAAAAATGAATAGAAGTGAATTAAAAAGCTTAAATCTATTCAGAAATTTGAAGAATGAAGCATTACAGAAGTTGTACGCAATTCTTGCACTGGGAATGAATCCACATCATGATTATAAATTAAAGGAAGAATATAATAAGGATGTAATTGATGAAATCTATAACTTGACATCACAGCAATTACAGAGCAACTTTAACGGGACTTCCATTTTCAATATAATGACCCAGTGGAAAGAAATTCAGGGTGCTTTAAAATTAGCTACAATGATTTGGAATCCGGTTTTGTTAAATAATTCTAATTTTAGTATGGCACAAACTGAGAATGCTCTCAAAACGTTACTCACCATTAGCATGCCATCATTTCTGGGAGACTTAAGAGATCGTTTCACTGGAATTGAAGAAATACCGTCTTTGATTTCCGATTATCTTCTTAAACCTGTGTCGTACAGAAGCTTTCCAGACCAACTCCTAGCTCTGCAAAAGATATTTTTTATACTGACACATGAAAACATAGGTTATGACTACCTGCTGCTGCCTGCTTTTGAGCTGATGCGGAAAGTAGAAAGCTCCATGGGTGAATCGCGGTGGCACGAACTGAATGGCTATTGGCGCCTTGCTGAAAGGCTGAGATCAATGCAATGGAACAATACAGGCATCGTAGCCTATGGGCAGTTTTTAGAGGTATTACACAGCCATTTTGAAAAGCTGGTTAATAATTCAAATAGTCTTTTCAGTGAACAGTTTGGTCAACTGTCTGAATTTATAGCAGCTGTATTTAAAGAGTTTGATGGGGAAAACTCCGAAGTAGCCAATATCTCGCTAGTCACTCAAGCCGTACAAAAGACCTTGTATGTATTAAAAGACTTACAGCTCAACTACAATGTCAGTAAATTAAAATATATAGATCTGTTCTTTAATTTTGACAACAAAACCTTCGAGAGATTTTCTGAACTTCTGAGGACAGGAATGAAAATCCTCCACTACAGAAATGCCAGTGAAGCTTCCCCTGAAGAAATGATTAATGCTGTCTATAACTTAACGCGTCTTGTAGTGCAGGAGTTCAGTGAGTCTTCCTTACCACACAATGCTTCACTGAAGGCAAAAGTCTGGGAGTTTTTGCATGTAGCCTTGAGCCCTTTTCTGGAGAATAGAGACAGCAGTGCCAGAACA